ATACTGAAGGAATTATTTTCCCGTATTTTTTTATTGATTTTGCCTGCTATGATTGAACATTCTTGTTAAAAAGGGGTGCACAGTAAAATAGAGAGGAAAGTAAATGCTAAGCTAAGAAAAGTAAGTTTAAGCCTCTATCAATAGCTGAAATGTTAACAACCTCTAATTATGATGAAGGTCATGTAGCCGAAGAAAGCCTGAAAGTTAAAGCCTCTATAGCACAAGCGGCGGATGGGGGGCACGTGCCCCCCCAATTTTGACTCGGTAACGCAGTGCCTCTTTGAATGGGGAGTAGAGACTTGGGCATTCGCTGTTTTAGTTTTGAATTCAATTATCACTAATAAGGTGCTCCCAATCGTTGGTGTCCTACCCCGATTTCAAAAATTAAGAAGCAAACCCAGTAAGAAATTGTTTTAATATTAAATATTTAGAAAGTAAGTTGAAAATTGTGTAGGATTAAGACCCTGGATGCTTATATGTGTGCATCATTTGCACATCAAGCGGTTTTCTTTCATTAAAGATGTTTCTTCATTTTGTTCGAGTAAAATAATCAAAAATCCCACCAGGTAAACAAAAATTTAACAACGAAACCTGTATTGATAAGACAGAAAATTAAATAAGGAAGCAAGAAAACAAAAATATAAAAAAATATAAGAGCGAATGAAAAATATAGATCTCTCTGGTAGAGCAAAGATACACAAATCTAACTAGTAGGGAAAAAGTTTGGACTTTTTGAACTTAATCAGTACATTAAAAGGGTTAAGGAAGTAACTAGTTATGAATGGAGGAATTAACTATTTAGACAATAATTAAGTAAGAAATGACAAAGTAATTATATAATACTGTTAATATTTTAGCTAGTAGTTAAATGTATATATATATATTATTGACAATAAGAAGGCTAAGAAGGAAGCCAATAATAATGAAAATTAAAGTTCCTTTTTGTAGTAAGACAGTTAGGAAAGTATCTTAAAATGAAAAGATTTAAAACCTAGAATGTGTTGATAATGTTAATCGTTAAAGAATTAATGACTAAGCCACTAGTAAAAGGATTAAGGATGCAATTTATTACATAGTTAAAAGTTTAAGGGCCTTTTTAATTCTAGTTAAAGGATTAACCAGGAGTGAGAATAATCAACAACATAGCCAACTACACAAAATTAATATCATAGTTGATAGTTTGACAGTGAGAGGGGGAAGGATCTAGCTATTAGTGAGAAGGTTAAGGAATTAGCTGCTGGTGAGAGAGTTAAGGATCTAGCTTTAGTGAAAGGGTTAAGGACTTAGCTGCTAGAGAGAGAGTTAAGGATCTAGCTATTAGTGAGAAGGTTAAGGAATTAGCTGCTGGTGAGAGAGTTAAGGATCTAGCTTTAGTGAAAGGGTTAAGGACTTAGCTGCTAGAGAGAGAGTTAAGGATCTAGCTACCAGTGAAAGGGCTAAACAATTAGCTGCTAGTAAGGGAGTTAAGGATCTAGCTATTAGTGAAAGGGTTAAGGACTTAGCTGTTAGAGAGAGAGGGCTAAGGATTTAGATACTAATGAAAGGGTTAAGGACTTAGCTGCTAGTGAGGGAGTTAAGGACCCAACTAAAAGTGAGAATGGTAAGGATATAATTGCCAGTGAGAGGATTGAAGATTAATCAGTTGCAGGAAGAGTTAGCAATCTAGACGATAGCACAAATAAATAAGAACATGGTTGATGGTGAGATGATTAAGGATATAGCTTATCATGTGAATATTAAGAAAG